ATGTATATAACCCTCTTGTGATAAAATTGATGATATCCAATTTCTTGCAAGGTACGTAAGCGACGAAAAGTTAAAGGAGTTTGAATATTGTTTTGTTTCCATTACATTAGTTTATTACGTGTTCTTAATATCTTTTGATGAATTGAAGTTCCTTTTGGAGTTTTGGCCTTAATTGTCTCTTATGACGTGGAATGTTAAGAAGTTCAACCTGTGGCGTCGTATATATAAATATTAAAATTGTATAATTATTTGATTAATAAGACCATTCAAAAGTAATTTAAATCATTCCTCAATTGAAACTCTTTTACATGAATAGTTTGAGAAAAAATTATAAATTTAAAAGATAAAGTAAATAAAGATTTTATATGTAAATCAAAATAAACTTATCAATAAGCGTTTATATTTTTTGGGTACATTAATTAGCGTTTATATTTAAAGGAAATAGAGCACATTCTAACAGCATATTCACAAACACTCGCACCGCTGTCTAATAATAAGACAACAAACGGCCCATGACACGAACTTAGCTACGAGGGATATGATGCCAGCGATTGGCTCAATAGTTGTTTACTAGGAACGAGCTTTCTTCCTCCTCCGTTGACATCTACTCCTCTGTCCAAATCTACAAGTTGTTTGGCAGAATGTTAAAAATCACTTATAAATACGTTTATATAAACCGGGACAAAACTGTTCTCACATATTTATCTTGTATCTTGTAAATTACGATTGAAAAGTTATTTATAAGCTATTCCAAACGAGTCCTATACTAGTCTAAATATTAAACTTGAAACCTGTCACTTTTTTTTTTTCAAAATCAACATTTTTTTTATTATAAAGTATTTTTCAGTAATATCTTAAAATAATTTTTAGTATAACTAACACAAAAAAATATTTTTTTGGCCGCACCCAGTATTTGGCAAGTTACACTTTGAACTATTTTTTAAAACAAGTACCTAATATCCTAAACTAATTTTTAGTACATCCAGTACTCACTCTAGATTATTTTTCATGTAATAACACCCAAACGAACATGGTTATGTGGGTGGCAGTGTGAAACCCGAAATGTCATCCAATAGAAATCGCTCTTCCGATACGAATTTTGATTCTCTCCATTCAGGTCAATAAGAAAAAGTTAATTCTCTTAATAACTAATTTAATAATATTAAAAAATTAGTTAAATTAGTTATTTATAAATAAGTATTGAGTTTTTTAAAATATCCTTATTAATTATGTGTATGTATAGTGTATCGTTTTGATGGAACCCTTTAACATATACAATTAATATAATATTTTGAAAAAAAATTCCCTCTCATCATAAATATAGAGCAGCTTCTAAAAAGCCTGCTTAATGTAAAATATATATCATTATTGATTTTATTTCTATTTAAAAAATATACATCTCAAATTTCTCATATTCATTACATAAAGTTTCTGGTTACACATAACTATGTGTCCTATTAAAAAATAAAAGACACATAACTACGTGAAATTAAAGAACTTGATATAATGAATATAAATAACTTGAGTTAAGTATTATCTTTCATTTTGACTCTCATTTTATAACTCCTAAATCCTAATGCAAATTTCAATAATATCCCTATTAGAAAATAAAATTTGAATTCTGAAGAGAATTAAGGGTTAAAATAGTATGGCATTAAATAGAGGGGAAAAAATAAAAAATAATTCTTACATAATATATAAATTTACTTTCAGTTGAAATAAGAGAGTTTCAAGAAGAGAGACACGATAGAATCCAAACAAACCTCTTGTTGCCTAATGCAAACTGCGGCCGTCTGTCTGGAACTTTATGTTTGCTACAGGCAAGTTGATATCATACTCAATAATTAACAATAATAGCCCTATTTTATTTTTACTGGCGTCGTCAATTTATCGTTCTCCTGGAGGCTGGGGCCACACAAATGCAGCATCCCCAGCTAAGCTATTGGCTGGGCCCTCTTGCTTTCCCAGCTTCAGCAAAATGTACAAAATTCAATTATAAAATAAAATTCACACTTAAAAATAAAAATGATTTACAGCATATTTCAATCCCAATTTTCATAAAGAGAATAAGCTTCTTTCTAATCATATTTCAATTTTCAAGTGTATTAGTTACAATTATTATTATTACAAGAGCTATCTTTAAAGAATTGATAAATATGAGAGATAAAAAGAATTAGATCTTATATTTAAAATCAAAATAAAAATCAAATAAGTTTTTATATTAAAGACAAGAGGTGGTAAATTGCAAATTGTATTCCTCCTCATTTTCTAGTCCCCCCAACACAATCTAATCAATTTAGATGAAATTTGAATGGTGTGGATTTAACTTGAATATTTTATAAAAAATATTATTAAAATATTTACATTAATAAATTTAAATTGATAAAATTTAATATAGATAGCTTAAAATTAGAAGATGAGGGAAAGAACAAAAGACAAGCCAAGGGAAGGTGTTAATTTTGTTGTGTTCGCAGAACAATGGATACGATGAAATATCACAATTTCTGGCATGATTTAGGTAATAATAATATTTTTATTACTATAGATAATATTTAAAATCTTCTTTTCCAAAAGATGATGCAATACATTTTATTTTCACCCCAATGTCATTTTCTTTTTAAACTTTTGTCAAATAATTAAGACATTAAAGCCTAATCTTTTGACAAATCACTTCCACCAAGACATGACTAATATTGTTGAAGTCATTTGACCTTACCTTATATACTGTTGCGTCTTAATTAATTATGGCTTAAGTAGGAAATGGCGATTGAAGCGCTTAGTATGTATCACTGTTCACCTTTATTATAATATTACCTTCACTCTTTAATATAATATTTATTTAACTAATTTGATGATATAAAAAAAACTAAATAAATTAATGCTTCTTGTCCTAAATATATTATCTAGTTTGTGATGCAAATTACATTACAAACTAGATATTATATTTAGGATTGGAGATAGTACATAATTATAACATCATAACATATGTTATATGATCTTTTTAAAATACTCCACCCGGTTCATAATAGAAGAAGTTGATTAACTTTTCTCACATACCACAAAATAGTAGTTTAATGATTAAATTTGTCCTAAAATGATAGGATTTTTTTATTTTACTTCTAAAAAATTATAAAGTTACTTTTAATGTTATGTTTTTATTATCTCTCATCCCCATCCTATATTTAATAGGAGTGAAAGTGAAAAAATCACATTAATCATTTTGACATATTATATTTTGGATCATAATTTTTTTCTACCCAACATCTTATATTATGAACTAGAGGAAGTGCTTATTATGAGAGATCATGTAATATAAGTTATAATTAAATAATTTATTTATTTTTCTTAATCTTTCCTATATTTTATATTAGGCAGTACATTGATTTCCATTATTGTTATGATTCAAGGTCCAAAAAAAAGGGTTAAAAAATGCTTATCTAAATTTTTGAAAGCTTAGTGCAAGAGCCCAAATCCATCTTAGAAAGCCTTAACGTTTAGAGGTAAGGCAACATTCAACTGACACGGAGTCTAGGCCCAATATCGGTATTTGGGCCTGACAAGCCCAAAGTACTTAGATGAAACACCCGCTTAGTTGGCCTGACGCTTTAATGGCCCTACAACACGAGAAATGATACCAACTAAAATTAATAGTGGTTTGTTATCTCCCAAAAAACAAAAGAAATCGTGGTTCATAATTGTCCAAAACTTAGCTTATAGAGACAGGTCAAATACCGAGGGTAAAAAATAATTTAGAATCATGCTAATCATTTAGTTAATTTACAGAATTCAGATTTGGTAAGATTATATTTTATTTGTAATAAAAAATATAAATAATTTAAATTAATTGTTGTACAAAGATTCAAATGAAATGAATTAGTTTCACTTTTTAAATAAAAACAATTAGCACACATATTTTTTTTTAGAGGAATAAATCATGTGAAATGAAGGCTTGTTATCATGTTTGTTTTTACGTTAGTTTTGATGATTTATATTAATATTATACTCTTCCAATCCTAAATATAAAACTTTTATACTAGTATGTATAAGGGTCTTATATTTAAGATCGGAGAAATAATGTGATTCTAAAGAAAAAATAAAACTCATTATGAAAACTCATGGATTGACAATAAAGGGAGTCACTGAGACTACGCGCAACCATTAAGGATCCATACGTGCTCTTTTTTCCGGTCAAAAAAAAAAAAATACGTGCTCTTTTTTCGTTTTTTTTTTTGGGGGTTTGTTTTTTTAAATAAAATTTATATTTATCTTATAATCTTGCAGATTTGTTTGTCTTTTTTAACCTTATACCCGAATGACAAGCATTAATTTATCGTCTTCCACGCATCATAAATAATCAAATATTAAATAAGATATTTATATACATCTCACTGTTTTATTTTTAAAGTAAATACTTTAATCCTAAATTCAAGCGCTAGCCATGATAATTTTATAGATTTATATCATATTAATACACAAAATAGTTTCCATGCCTGCAAAATAGAATCAATTTTTTCTAAACTCTTTCCACCATAATCAAAAATTAATTTATAAGATTCAACCAAATCAAAAAAGAAATAAAAAAAAATCAACGAGTGAAGTCTATGGAGTATTAAACAACCATTCTTAAATTACATATTACGAGGAGATTAAAGAAGTAAGTTGAGTTAGTTATTTGTCCTAAATATGTGTTGTCTTTCCTAAAATATCCTTGCTAATCAAGTGTATTAACTAGAACTATCATTCTTAGAAGGACTACTTTGAAAAAAAAATATAAATATGAGAGACAAAGTGGATTGGGGTCTTATATTTATAACCAAAATAAAAATTAAACATGGTCTTATATTAAGAACCGAGGTAGTATTATACTTCCAAGATAAATAACCAGTTCTTAAAAAGCAAAAAAAAAAAAAAAAAAAAACTTAACTCGTGCAGGATAGCAGGCGCATTTGGCACTTATCTACCATGCGCCTTGCGCGCCATCACCATTCACCCATCAGAATGTCCAACCCTCTGCGTCTTCCAGTTCAGTTTCCGAGAGTTCCTCAAGATATGGGACTCTGTATAAATTATAAAATGTGATTTTGATTTTTTGACAGTCTAACGAATCAGTGTTGCCGCATGGGTCATAGAATCACCCGAAGGATCATAATGTTCAAGTTAAGAAAACATTATTTTAATTAATGCGCTTGAGTTCTTAGTTTGCATCACTCTTTTGTCTGTGTGAGCTTCGAGGAAGATAACCGTAGATCTGAGTCGTGAACCAAGAGATTTACCTTCTTTGATTTTGTATCAGGTAACCTTCTTCCAGCTTCCCAAATGATTAACAGTCAATTTGCGCTATCTTTTAAATGATTAACCTTTTTCGGGGCGGATGTGGATTTGTTATATGACTTGGAGCTTGAATCCACTGCAATAGCTAAAACTTTGCATTATTACATAATTACTTTTGAATTTTTGATATATTCTGAGCATGCTTTCTGGATGTCATGAGCTATTTGTAAATTTGTAACAAAATATGATTGCATAAACGTATTAGATTGAGAACACTATATTGAGCCTGCTGCTAGAACATATGCTAGGTTTAAGAAGCTCGTTGCTATCATCATGTCAAGGAGGCCAGTACATCCTGCTCGCGTTTCACCCGGTGGAGGAAATGTACCCTTTGTGGCTTCAATTCGGTCTAAATCTCGCAACTCCCCCTTCCTATCCATTGGGCTTCTTGTCCTGGTACTTCTAATTTTTATTCTATTTCTGTTGAACGGGTATCTGAATTCAGAGAATACCTGGCATCTTTAGGTTTGGTATGCGATATTTCTAATGGCCTGTTTGATGCTACTGTGTTGCACCGAACAATTCCTACATTTGTCCCTGCCAGCCGCTCTTTCCAAAAATTCTGCGTTTTGTTATATTTCGTGGTAGTTGATCCAGAGTTTTTGGCGAGGCTTAATTTCACTAGACTGTATACTTAATTGATTTATTTTTTAAAATTTCAGGGCGCTATCCTTCTCATTGGTTATTGTTATAGCAATTCAGGTTTGTAACAGGGATCTTGAGTCCATGGATCTTTCATTCTTGTGCATCAAATTTCAATCAATACAATTTCAGGGCTTCTCAATCATTCATGTTGTGTGAATTTGGTTTTGTCAGTCAAAATGCTGCTACAGGCAAGGCTAACTAAGTTGAATAGACAAATGAATTGCCTTAACTGCGACTGGAAAAACATCAAGGAATAAAATTGAATTATATTGATAGAAATTATGGCATCATCATGCTATGCTCTGTTTATTATTCTCGAATTGTCAACTTTATGTTGGCCAAAAAAAAAAAAAAGAATTGTCAACTTTATAAAAGAAATAAACATAATGCAAATTTTGTTTGAGATCTGAGACGAGGTGAAGATACTCTGAATCCTGAGCTTCCCTTTCCTTTGAAATTGCAGGTGGGGCAGACGGTGGTCTGAAGGGGTTAAGTAAACTTGAAGGTAATTAATTATACGATTTTGTGACCTTTCTCATGCTTTCAAAACATTCTTTATGTGGGAGAACTTGGTCATATGTTTATTTGAGGTTGTAATGCAGAATTACTTCAATTTCTCTTTCTTCCAATTTTTCTTATTAGCATGTACATGCAGGTGGTGCTACATGCACATTAGAAGTTATAAAAGCATTGCCAGTTTTGAAGAAAGCATATGGGGACAGCACACGAAAAATTTTACATGTTGGCCCTGATACTTGTTCTGTGGTGTCTAGTTTGTTGGCAGAAGAGGATACTGAGGCATGGGGGATAGAACCATATGAGTTAGATGATGTTGATGCAGATTGCAAGAGTCTTGTTCACAGGGGCATTGTGCGTGTAGCTGACATAAAGTTTCCCCTACCCTATCGTGCAAAATCATTTTCTCTTGTTATTGTGTCAGAAGCATTGGATTACTTATCTCCGAGATACCTTAATCAAACTTTGCCAGAGTTGGTCAGGGTATCTGCTAATGGCGTTGTCATCTTCACTGGTACATGATATATTCCCTTCTGTTGATTCTTTTCTTCCAAATTTATATTTTTAACATTAGAATCTAACAAAATATAGTTTTGAACTAGATTTTTGTTGGGCATCTCTTTTGGCATATTTATTTGACCATTTAAAGGAATACATTCATGCAATACAGAAGCCATCTTTCTAATTTTGTGTATATTGACGTGGAAATGACGGAGTGTGATGACGTTGTGCAATCCTTGTAGCTAATCTCACTTGGTGGGATTTGGCTTATTGTTTTTGTTGATACATGGAAAGGAAAAACGAGATGGGGACATAAGTCACTAAATCTCTAAATTCCAACTATGTGCATAATTAAGTGTGTGACGAACTGCTGGTGGTAGCCAATTTACAATTTGTCATGGCTCAGTATAATTTTGCGTGATTTTCCTCCTGTAATTTTTTTTGTGTGCTTATCTGAAGTAATTAATTTCTATGTTATTGATATCAATACAAGTCGGTCCTAACTTACATTTTTTATAACTTAACTTTTTCTTGGTGTGTTTTTCCACAAATTGTGTCACTGTGTTGTATATGAATGAAGTTTTGATTTTCTTTTTCTTTTTCCTGATCATTCATTTTCATGCAGGATATCCAGGTGAGATAAAAGCTGGAAGCAGAGATGCGGCCAAGTTTGGTCGTCCGGTAAGTGATTTATGTTGGATTTCAATGGTTATTGCTAATTTAAAATTTAAATTTGGAAGGCAAAGGAGTCATTAATGATTGATTTGGTATGCCCTTGGTACGATGGCATACTTTGAAATCTGTAATTTATATGTGATGATCAAGAGAATGGCGCTGATCAGTTCTTTCTATGATCACATTCATTCGGGCTTTATCTAAGTTTTCTTTCAAACCATTTCAAATTTTGTAGGAAATACTGAAAAGTTTGTCTGTTGAAGTAAAATACACAGCTCTGATGAGATTTTGTGTTTATAGGCCAAACTGCGCAGCCCATCTTGGTGGATAAGGCTTTTTGTTCAGAATAGTTTAGAAGAGAATGAAGTTGCGGGAAAGAAGTTTGAACAGCCTTCACTCAAGGGTTCATACACACCAGCTTGCCAAGTGTTTCACCTCAAATCATTCCCCTGAAAATTTTGGTTTTATATCTTACAACCCAGCTCACTGTTAGAAATGATGCCGTCAGAGAGCAAATCAGACACTCAAAGGGTAATGCCCTTACTTATATATTACAGAGGCTATACAGGTCTTGTATTTACATTCTAAATTATGATGCTGATGAGATAATATAGGCAAGTTTTCTGTGGGTCTATCTAGGTTAGTTAATAGGTTGATGCCAATGTCGACTCCTTGGTTTTATGATTTGTTGTGTAAGAACAGTACTGTAAAGTTTCTCAGATATTTGGTCACTAGATTGCCAAAAAGCGAGCTAGGCCTAGCGGCAAGGGAAAATCTCAACTTTTGGGAGTTTGTATCAGAATTCAGGTCTTGTAAGATCAATGATCTCACTAATGTATTGAAGTCTCCTTCTGTTTAATACTACTATGCTAGTTGGAATCTGGAAGCATGTTTGACATGATGCCATTAATTATTAAAAAAATTCAAAACTCTATTGTGTGTGTTGAAGTTACATGCATACAGAGCTACAGTAATTTGTGTGCAATAATATTAGGTGTAAATTACAAAAAATGCAATCAAATTTCCACGGTTCAATATTATCGGAATTTCATTAAGGACTTGTTAGGTAAAACTTCAAAGTTTTCGATTCACTGTTATTTATTTTGCGTTAAAAATTATCTTTTGTATTTTTGAAAATTTAACAATTATCATATATTCATTATTTTATTTAATTAATACATATAAATATATTTTGATTAGAAATAAAATAATTGTATTTTATCTTCTAATGGTTTGGGAGGAAGGGATACAAGTGTGAATGTTGAAATAAAAACTTGAATATTTGCCAAGAAAAGGCATTACTTTTCCTTTTATTTTATTTAAAAAGTAAAAATGTATATTCTAATATAGTGTTAATTCAAATATGTTTTTATGTAATTTAGCTCCCTTTTTGTCGTTTGAATAATCAACTCCACTTAGAGAAAAATACTCACGACTATCTCCCAAAGCATTAGCTCACTTCACGGTATTATAAATTGAATATTGTCTCAATGACCTTTTAACACTTTGAATAATCATCTTCGATAGGTTAACATGATCTACCTGGATAAGGAAATAGGAATTCTGTTGATTGCATCAAGACTGAACAAAGCAACAAATCGAACGAAGTATTTGTTTTTTCAAATAGAAAAAATATTTTTTTTAAACTACGAAAAAGGGGCAAAGGGTGAAAAATCTCTGAAGTTGTTAGAGTGTAAGCAGTCACTTTCATCAAATGGGATTAAGAAATGCAATCTTTTTTTTTTTTTGGGACAATAAGACATGCAATCCACTAAAGGACAAAATAAGTAATTAAAAGTATATTTCAATATTTTACAGAATTATTTTCCTAAAGAAATATGTGATAGAGTATTGTTGCAACTAAGTTTCTATTTTAGTAACAAAACAGGTGATTGAAAATCGACATTACATTTTTTTATAGATAAAATTTTAAAACAAGTTTGCTAATAAGGGAAGAGAACATGGAACCAAATGCATTTTCTATTTTTAATAATTCTTTTAAGCTTTCCATATGATATTCTTGAATCTTAATCAACAAACAACATACTAAATCAATGTCTTCATAAGAAATTATCATATACGCTTTATATTTATACTTTTCTCAATAAATGAAGAATTATTTGTATTCTAATTTGTATATTTTTTTTAATTAAATTTTCATTTCAAAATAATATTTTAATCATACATTGAAAACACGAATTTAAGATAAAAAAATTCTAAATTATTGAAATTCATTTCAAATATAATTGTATAATAATTGAAAAAAGAACACCATTAATTACAGAATCTACCCTGTAAACTGTAATATTGTTGTGAAATGCCGTTCCAAAATTAGTAACTCGATTTTGGATCGTTATAATGGCAGCAAGCAAGCAAGCAAGCGTGCGGACAGTTCACAGGACTGAACATGTTCCATGGCCGCGAGGGATCCCAACCCCATCACCAGCGCCAAGAAAGTCCCTCTTTTTCCCCTGCTCTCTCTCATTTGCTTCACTTCCATCTTCCTCATTCTCTCCCAGTTCCGAAAGGCTTCTATTCCTTCGGCATCAACTTCTCCTCATCACAGCTTCGACATCGCCGATGAGGAATTGCGGAGCATCGTTCGGGTCGGGTCCTGCGACTACTCCGATGGATCCTGGGTCTACGATTCGAAGGCGGCAAGTGCTAGGTACGACCACACGTGCAAGGAGATTTTCAAGGGCTGGAATTGTAGGCTGGGCAACAAATCGAACGCCGGAGATATTGTCAAGTGGCGCTGGAAGCCTAACCGGTGTGATCTTCCGGAGTTTGATCCCCTTGGGTTTTTTCGGGATTACAGAGATACCAGCATCGGTATTCTACTTCCCTTTTGCTTTTCGTAGCCTTAGCAGTGTATTTTTTACTTGAATTCACTTGCATTCGAGCCAGTTGGAAATGTATAAATCATGTTTGTAAAGTGGGACATCACTTGGTTACTTGGCATCCGGTTGATCTGCATTGCCTGAATGTTCGAATAAGCGAGTATTGGCATTTTTTGGGTCATAGGATCATAACTGAAATGAAAGAATTTAATTATGTTATTGTCATTTAAAATGAAAGGCAACAAATCAAAACTTTTCCATTCCACAGAGCTCAAATTGTAGCATTCCTTTTAACGGAGCAGTTAGATTTGTCTTCTCGGGTTCGTTATTCAAGTAAACTGAGCGTTTTTTTTCATTCAAAGTAAAAAAATATAGCACTTTAGTTCTTGGAAAATTCTGTGAATGTGATTGTCAATTTGATAAACTGTGCGTGTGTTTCGGGCATCACTTTGATATTTGAAGGTACAATTTGGTTTCATTTTCACCTAGAGCTTCTGAGATTATTATAAATCGAAACAAAATTATGTTGTCTTGTATTAACCTGATGATGATACAATCTTTTGAAAAACAAGAATAGGTTCTGTGGGCTCCTAATAATACCAATTTGGCATTTTCAATGATTTATGGCAGCTTTAACTGGTTTTCACACAGCAGGTTTTGTTGGGGATTCCTTAAACAGGAATATGTTTGTGTCACTTTTCTGCACTCTTAAAAGTGTGTCCAATGAAGTGAAGAAGTGGCGACCAGCTGGTGCTGACCGTGGATTCACATTTCTGCAATACAATCTCACCATTGCGTATCATCGAACAAATCTCTTGGCTCGTTATGGTAGGTAAGCTTTATTGTCATGATGATTTGATTTGTAATTCTTACTTTGAGCTCTTGTTGTAGATTGATGAGTTCACTTTTTCAGTATTTTGTAGGTGTTTTTTGTTTCTGCTTTGTCCCGTTTGTGTGATTTACTTGATTTTACGCCATTAATTAGACTGTAATATTTTTGAACTGCATATAAATGATAATTGTTATGCCTGTTTCATGCAGATGGTCAGCTAATGCCAATGGCGGTGCATTAGAATCTCTTGGATACAAAGAGGGTTTCAGAGTTGACGTTGATATCCCAGAAAGCACATGGGCACAAGCTCCAAGCTTTCATGATATTTTAATTTTTAATACTGGCCACTGGTAATTTTTTATTATCTCTATATTTCTTCATTCGATGATGTGTGATTCTAGAAGCTTTCATTTCTAATTAGCTGAGCTGATGCTGGACGGGTTATTCTTCAACATTTTAGAAGATTTCATGTGACAGCTTTTATGATTTTTTGAGATTCTTTTTGGTTATGTGAGCAGGTGGTGGGCCCCTTCCAAATTTGACCCTGTGAAGTCACCTATGCTTTTCTTCAACAAAGGTCAGCCAGTAATCCCTCCATTGCCTCCTGATCGTGGCCTTGATTTGGTTTTGGAGCACATGGTATGGCTAATGCATTGCTTTCTTATCCTCTCTAGTGATCAAACCACGCATGCGATATAATACTAGAGCTCTGAAGTTAATTTATGCCATGGTCATGGCTGGTTTTGTCCAGAATTAAATCCCTGTTTTGGGAAATTTTAAAAACTGATTTCCTCACAGCAATTTGTTGCATAGAAGCATACAAGATAATATTGTAGAATGCTTCCTACAAGAATTGCTGCTGTCTAAATCCGAATTTCTAGTTCCCAACTTATGAAGATGAAGAGAGCTCTTTTCAGGTGATATCAGTCCTCAAGAGATTGGTGCTTATTGGATAGAAACAAAATTCGGTTATTGAGTGCAGAATGTTTACCCTGATTATTGAAAATCCAGAAGATGCTTATAGTTGTTGATTTATGAACATATTCTGCTGTTGCCAGCAACTCTCTTTTAGCCATAAATTTTTGTGCCAGGTTATCATAATTCAACATTTTGGAACGGTTTTCTTTACAGATATCCTATGTGGAGGAAAGAGCGAAATCAAATGCAGTAAAATTTCTCCGTACGCAATCACCCAGACATTTTGAAGGTGGTGATTGGGATCAAGGTGGTTCTTGCCCAAGGCTCCAACCTTTATCAACAGAGCAGGTGCTTCCTCTAAAAATTGTTTGATATTTGGTTCATCTTTGGAATACCAAAAGGTTTAAGCTGTTCAAATCTTTAACAAATCTCCTCACGCGATAATCTTAATCCTCTACTTTGTATTAATTCTTTTATTATAAGTAGATGCGGTGGCTTGAATCTCTTTTCTGACCACTTAATTGGAGAGTTTTTAATCCTAATGCCATTTAAGTTTCAGAGAAAATGTTCATGGATAATTTTTAAGAGATAACATGCATTTCATGCTTCGGATTCTTGTTTCACTTAGAATAATCAAAAGTGGAGATTAGTGAAGTAACATGATGCCAGCCATCTGGGGTTAGTTCAAGTAATAGGGGATTGGGTGGGGGTATGGAAAATTTAAGGTTTAAACTCTCTTGATGTGTTAAACCCAAAAAGAAGATGAAGAAGTAACATGATGCCGTCAAAACAAAATTAAACCTTCAAATACTGAGTTTATGGATTAAAAAAAATTATAAGAAGTGAATTGATATTAGGCTTATCTTTTGTGGAAGGCCAAAATTGAGTTTACTGAATTATATTTACCTGATTTACTTGATATTCTGATCCGGCAAGTTGTTTCCTTCTCAGGTGGAAAACCTTTTCTCAGTGAATAATAGTGGGACAAACGTGGAGACTCGATTGGTCAACGAACACCTTAATAAGGCGCTTTCAGGGTCTAGTTTTGTTGTTTTGGACATAACTCACCTGAGTGAGTTCAGAGCTGATGCTCACCCATCTACGGCCGGTGGGAAGAAACACGATGACTGCATGCACTGGTGCTTACCAGGACTCACAGATACTTGGAATGACTTGTTCATAGCGCATCTATATAATATCAAGAACAGAAATTGATGTTTAGCTTATTCATATTCCACATATAAAGAAAAGAAAATTGTTCATATGTTTCTGTTGTACTACGCACGTGTTTTGATGACTTTGATTCAACAATTACTCTAGTTCAGTATATAGATTAGAGTGCTTGTTTTATTCTCAGTTTTGTCTGAAGTTACAGAGTCGAATTGATGATAAGATGATATGGTTCGCATGATACCAGTTTTAATTATTAGAACAGAAGTGAGTACGAATTCGTTATTTTGATTCTCCAAAAGTTCATCAATTTTTATGTTACTTTCTGTCAGACTTGTATTCTTATTCTTGTTTGGTCCTCCACAATCTAGTCCTTGTTTTGGTGACCCGCTAGTGAATTTGGAGGTGTTTGGAAAGCTCTATAAGCACTTAAAGAAAATCTTTTCATATAAGTTGAGATAAAATTCTTTTTATATATTTATCTTGTATTATATAAAATCACTTCTAAAAAGCTAATTGAAATACCCCTACTGATGGAGCGCACGTAATGAATAGATACAGTTGACGTATAATAGAAACTATTGAAAATCCTGAAACAAACTCTTGAAATTTGTCGCAGGTTGGGAATTCATAGCACTCAGCACCAAATGATTAAAGAAAGAGACAAGTTAATAATAAAACAGTAAATAAACTATTTGGGATATTAATTTTCCTCTATTATTTTTCTTTATTCCTCATTCCCTATAATGTACAAATCATCAAAGGTCAATAAGCAAATCTCCAAAATCAAATCCATATAATGAAGGTAACGCTCATTGCTCAGTCTACTTGAACAATCCAGTTCTTTGTGGTCTCAACAAGTCCTGTTTGAATACCAACCAGGGTGTCATACAGTTTTTGACACACACTGTCAGCTCCTGTTTTGTATTCAACTCTGCATGATTGGAAGTTTTGGAATTTAACACCAAGTTGTGACATATTCCCCAAACATCTAAAAACATGTGATAGGAAAAAAAAAATAACAGAAAAAAATGAAAGGGAAACAAAATCATGATCTGTTTGTTCTATTTACACGTCATTGATTAAATCTACTTAGAAATAAAACCGAAACTGGCTTGCCTTCTGTTATTATAGGTCACAGATGCAACAGACTTGACACCCATGGCAGTTCCAGTGCAGAAAACTTCATCAGCTTGCAGCGTTTCCTCCACTTCAACATCACGTTCCATGACCTTTAACAACATAGTTCATAAAGCCACTTCCTTTGTAAGTTTTACTTGCCATGAGGAATCATCAACAATATATAGTAAAACAGGAAACTTGTTCACTGGATTCTCTGAAATAAGACTACCAAGTCCAGAGAATTCTATGGAGAATCAATAAATTAATAGTGAGTTCACATGTTAATCAATTTATATGTCAATTGTCAGAGAAACTGAAGGAAAGTGAGTCACCTGATAACCCAAATCGGTGGCAAGTTCAATTATGCTTTTCCGTGTGATCCCCGGCAGAATGCTTCCATCTGCTACTGGGGTGCTGATAACGTTACCCTCCATCACAAGATAAAAAAGAAATATGAAGTAAACTAAAATAAAAATATTTGTATAATTAAGATCCTTCATTCTTTACACATGCATCATCAGCTATATATGTAAAGATTATCCAACGAAATTGGGGGTTGGGGGTTATAAGACTTTCTTAATTACCTAGGCGTGATTTCCTCTATAGATAAAGCTCGAATTGAAATCTTACAACATTGAGTTTCTTACACACACACATATTTACATACTCCTTCGGGCACTATGAAATGGGTTTTATATTTAGAAACGGAGGAGTATATATTTTGAATTTAGAGAGGTAGGCACCAATGGCCTAATGTTACAAACAAGATAGAATTTGTAACCTCCCATTTAAAGCAGAGTTTTCCTGCGACAAAGCTACAAGACCATTGGTTGAGTTTCTTATATTTAACCCAATGAAATACCGATGATAAAGACGATTGGAAGCCATTGAAATGATGTGAAACTGAGAAAGTAGGATATGTTAGCATACCTTGACAACAAACACATTACTTGAAGAAACTTCCTCTATATAATTTGCAGTTGCAGCGTCCAAGAACAAGACATCAGAGAACCCCTGTATTTTAGCTTCATTGATTGCTCTGAAGACCTGCAGCAGCAGGGGAATAAATCAAAGGAAAAATTGGATGATAATGGCGAATCAATATAAGATGAAGGGAGTGTTTAATATAGTGCATACTAACAGGGGCATAGTTGGCGATGCTCTTGATCCCTCCAGTTCCACCATGCCCAGTTATTGCTCGGAACAGCTTGTTCTCCACTTTAAGGTCAAGTGGACTCTGAACCATCAACTCCAGTTAATGCTTAGACTTGTATATATGAGATTAAGGTGCAATATTATTCATTAACTGCCGGCCAAAGAAAAATATCCATGAAGCATTCCCTATACTCGTCTAACACTATAAAGTTTCCAGGGGTATAACAATGCATATGAATGTTTTCAAATGAAGCACACCAGCAAGATTCTCACATTCACAATAGGATTTGAACTCACAACCGACCAACTCTTGTTGGTAGTATTTTTTTACCTCTAAGCCTTGTGTATATATAACAATGATGTGAATATAATTAGTTTTGGGAGAAAGAAGAGAAGAAGTAGAAAGAAACCTTGTGGTAAGAATTGACAGGAGAAGCGTAAGTAAGGAAAGTAAACTCAGGAGGTGGCCGGAGTCCTAAAGCAACGCCACTAGCTATGAGCAATGGCCTTATATACAGAGACCCTTTTCCTGGCGGAGGAACCCAACGACGATTGGCAATCACAGTGTGCTTCACGGCATTAACAAATTGCTCAACCGAAGGGCAAGGCATGCACATTCTTTCTGCTCCCATCTTCATCCGCCTCGCGTTCTCTTCTGGTCTGAACAGCAATATTCTTCCCTCGTCACTTCTCTGCGCCTTTAATCCTTCGAACACTCCCTGCACATTTCGCTATCAATCAAGTTCCACGGAAATGACGCAAATACAAATCTGATTTCCTCCGTGTTAAAAATGACGTTCTAATTTCGTCTCTTTCAATTAGTTTCAGATCTAAATGCCAGTTTCTAACAGAGTAGACACACCTGAGCGTAGTTTAAAACGGAAGCAGCGGGGTTGAGGGAGACGCTTGAGAGGGGCGTGAGAGAACCGTGAGAGAAATGGTGACCAAGCGAGCATTTCATGGCGTACATGAAATCGGTTGGGAAGAATCGGAATCCAAGTTCCTCCCATTTCACCTTCCTGCAGTTTTCTCCTCCTTCTCCCCTGTTTTTTTTCCTCGCATAACTAAATATCCATGTTTCCGTACAAGTTTTTGGGAGGGGAAAAAATACCAAACTAATTTCCAAATTTCTTAATTTTTTTTAACTTGACCCCAAAAAAAAAATCTCTAAAATTTTATATTCATGTAAGTACCTCAATGATAATGAAATTAATCCCTTTAATTTTTCTATGAGGGCCAATTTAAAAGTTTGAAGAGGTTTATTGTCAAGTGTTGAAAATAAAAAGGGAAATAAAGAACAACAATAATTTTGTTTAATTTGTTTAAATATATAAGTGGGAAAATGAGAGGGATGAGTCAGAGGAAAAGGAAATTACCCAAGGGCTTGGGAAGTTGCAGGAATAGAAGAAGAAGACATAGTTTAATTTCTCTGAAAATAAAATAAATATGGAGCTCACTTTGATCTTCTTTGATCTTCGATCTGACCCAAACTCAAAACCTTCCTGATTGTTCTTATACACACGCACACAGAGAGTATATATGTATGTATGTTTGTGTTATTTTGTGGTTCAGTGGCTGCTTAGATTGTAATAACGGTGGGTGGGGTTGCATGCTAGTGAAGGCCAAGAGGGAGAGATAGACTGGGCACTACTACTACTACCCACTCTCGGTTGTTATTACTTTGCAGTTCTATGAAAATAATGTAACAATGAAATAAGAATGTGACAAGTGAACATCCACGAGTTTAGGTGTGAAAAATGACGCTACTTACTTATATTATTTTTTGTTGTTGATTATATTCCTTTTTTTTTGTTGAAATTTTATAATGATTTTCCTCGGTTTTAAATTATGGCAAAAAATTGAGTACTTTCAAATTATAAGACATTTTCTAAAAATTATGCTTTAAAAGTGTAAGACATTTTATTGAAAAATTAATGAAATGTTTATGAGTTTTCTCGGGGAAAAAAAAAACATATCCTCCATTTATATATATTAAACTAATACTTCTAACTGTGTTTTTATTAGTTTTTGTAAATTAGTTAAGAACATCCTATAATTAGTCTAAGGTTCACCTACCACCTTTTAGTCCAAACAACTTAAAGTATTTTGTGGTTTATGCAATACTCCTTCAATATTTAATATAATATCTATTTAACTAATTTGATTAGATTAAGAAAGTTAGGTAAGTCAGTTAATTATAAAAAATATGATATGTTTTTCTTAAAATACCATAATCATTTTTCTTAATATTCTCCCTCCTTTTTCTCTACTTGATTATGGTTGAGGGAGTATCTATAGGAGTAATTTAGAAAAAATTGATAAATATAAATAATATGTCTTATATTTAGAACTAAAATCAGCTTAATAATTAGGTCTTATATTAAGGACTGAAGGACTAATATTTTTTTCAAGTACATTTACCATCTTAAAATATATTTTGTAATACTTAAAATAAAATTGTATTACAAAATATTTTAGGGTGCTGAATTCAAAATTGTGTTTTCTTCTTACCATCTCATCAATCAGTGAATATTGATAGTTTTAATTATAACCATATTACTTTTCACCCGAGAAAACTATTGTTATTACTCTTTTTTTTTTTTTGCCAACTATTCAATCGTACTTAGTTTTTTTAAAAAATTAATTTCCCATCCGCAAAATCAATCTGTCTTTTTTTTCCCCCCCAAAACCATTCACGATTCATCCATTCAAATTCATTCCATGTGTCTAACACAGCATCGTGAAGCATGCATTGCTTTTTTTTTTTTTTTTTCTGGTTGATGAGCAGCCGTTATCATGTGTACAATATACTCTATCAGAACAAAACTTAATATTTCTAGTTAATTATAAAAATTTCAAATTAAATAATCAAACTTCTTTAACTAATAATTTTTAATCAGCATAATTTTGAGATTGTATAAGACATAACTAATTTAACTATAATTTTTAACTTAAAAGTAATTTATTGAAGCTTATAATAGCTATGGGACCAGAATACTGAATGCGATGGCTTATTCAATTTGCAGAGTCCAACCCCTCGTGTCCTGAATATGTCCTGTTTGGATACCAACTAAAGTTTGGAGGAGTTTTTGAGAAACTGCTTCTGGTCCTGTTTTATATTCAGCTCTGCATTTCGCCATGTTTAAGCTAATTAGCATTCGGAAATTCTCAGGTCTATTCTTTGAGAAAGTTAAACAGCCAAGTTTAGAAAACACATTAAATAATGATAATATTAAAATTTATATCTTATGAAATACCACTTCCGGTTCTAATTATTAAAGTCAAGTCAAACAAGATCTTATATTGAGGACTGAAGGTATTACCTTATAAAAATAATAAACATATAACACTCCGATATTATTTTTCTAGTACATCATCCAGCATCTTAATCTTATTTATAATGGATCAGCACCCCTAACTCATAAATAAGATTAGAGTGTTGGATGAAGATGTATCAGGAAAATAGTATCATGAAACTGGATTATGATAATTAAGATTAGGATACTAAATGCCACTGAAAAATAATATCAGGACATTGGATGTTATTTTATCCCGTAAAAAAATTAGAAAAATTATTATAAAAAAAGGGTCCAAGTGAATGTATATACCTGTTATTATTGTGAGTGATGGATGCAACAGGATTGACACCGACTGCAGTCCCAGTGCAGAAAACTTCGTCAGCCTCCATTAATTCATCCACTCCTACTTCGCCTTCCATTACCTACACGTATTAGTATATAGACATTATTATTCAAACTAAATCATCAAAAAGGTGTGAATTTTTTTTTGTTTTTTGTTTTAATCATGGAAAAGTGGAAACACATTCATAATCCCTTCCTCGCGGTTTCAAAGGATTTCCCCAGTACAGGACTAATGGAACATGTGTATTATTTAGTAGTACTCCTCCGATTTTTAATATAAGACCTATTTAACTAATTTGATTAGATTAAGAAAGTTAGGTAAGTTAGTTAATTATAAAAAATGTGACATGTTTTTTCTAAAACACCATAATCATCTTCCTTAATATCATCCTTCTTTCTTTTACTTGATTGTGGTTGATGAAGTATCAAAAGGGACAATTTAGGAAAAACTAATAAATATGATAAATAGGTCTTATATTTAGGACCAAAATTAACTTAACAATTAGGTCCTATATTAAAAAGCGGAAGAGTAGTATATATCAGGCGTGAAAAATGAGCTGAAAAATTATAAGGTCATATTATTGTTATTAAGAAAATGATATAATCACTAAGCAGGCAAGGAGTTATCTGACCAAGCCTACCATGGGGAGTGATGAGTATGTGCGTTATATGAATAATGTTTTAAACGCCCTGATTATGTCAGGAAACAAAATATCAAGGGGTTTATCAAAGTTAAAGCTAGAACAAATAAAATTAAGGGAAAAATAAAAGTTTTATTGTATGCTTCCTAGTATTTGAGAAATGAATCCTATTCTTTATAATTTGTTAATAGTATATAATTTATTATAATTATATATATATTGATGATATATTAATACGAAAGGAAACTAAATTAAATCACCTCATAACCCAAGTCAATGGCAATTTCAATGATGCTTTTCCGGGTGATTCCAGGCAGAATATTATTTCCTCCTGCGGTTGGAGTTGAGATAGCTTTCCCCTTCACAAAATAGTATACAAGTTTGTTATTATGAGATTAATTGAAGATCCCATGCATGGTTATCCAAATAAACGTAATATTTTTGAAATACTAACAATGAATCTTTCTATTATACTACTCCTGGTCTTAATTATAAGACTTCATTCGTAGTGTATGAACGAAGTCTTATAATTAGGATTGGAGATAATATATACAAAGCCAATATATATTGGTTTCCTGCATGCATATATATGTCTTTAATTTTCTCTTTTATTTTCTTCAATATATACCTTGACAAGGAAGATATTGCATGAAGAAAGCTCCTCAACAAATTTTCCCGTTGCTGCATCTAAGTACAATATATCCGAGAACCCTTCAGCCCTCGCTTCCTTCAGTGCCTTATAAGCCTTCAACATCGATTCCATTATTCGATCAATATACTTTAATAACGGCAAGTATACGTAATAATCTCTGATCAAATAATGCAAAACAATATGTTAATATTATTATTCTTTTGCTTGCTTACTGGAGAATAGTTAACCACACTCTTGACCCCTCCAGTTCCTCCACTCCCAGATATGGCCCTGTATAGCTTGTCCTTGATTACCAAGTTCAATGGACCCTGTACATAATAACATATCCATCCTGTATTATCATATTTTCATGGAAGAAAGGGATAAAGAACAAATATTTGAATGAGTGAAATCAATTCAAGTGTTGAAACTCACTTTGTGATAGGTTTTGACAGGAGTGACATATATAAGAAACGTGTACTCAGGTGCTGGAACTAAGCCTAACACACTTCCTGTTCCCATAAGCAGTGGCCTGATATACAGTGAACCTTTCCCCAGAGGAGGCACCTGATGTCCCAGAATTTTTCAAGCATACCAAACCATCTCTTTAATTTGTATAAAATGAATCAGAAAGAGGGAGAAGATTAAATTTAATCTGAGCAAGAAAGAGATTTGAGGGCGTATGTTATACATACAGTACGTACCCAACGTTTATTGGCAAGCACAGTTTGCTTCACAGCATTCACAAATTGCTCAACAGATGGTGATGGCATGCACATTCTCTCTGCTCCAATCTTCATGCGCCTACCATTCTCTTCTGGTCTAAACATAACTATACGCCCATCTTTGCTTCTGTATGCCTTTAGCCCTTCAATCACTCCCTGCAGAAATCCATTTATTTTTGTAGCAGAACTTAATTATACATTTCATTCTGCAGAACTTGTACGTGTTCAAGATGAGATCCTATGACCCTTGGATAAATATCATTCTAATGTCTACTTTTGATCCACTGCTTTCAAACAAGATACAAAGAAGAAGCATGTGATGATACCATTTTGTGACCTTTTGTAAAATGCTATGGTAACTCACTTATACTGTGAGATCTAAGAGATATATAGAGAACATGTTATGTCAGTATATAAGAAATGATTTAGAGAAGGAATAATGTCTGCTTAATAAATAACCTGTCCATAATTTAAGATTCCGGCAGAAGGGGTGAGGTGTAGATTCCCATAAGGGACAAGGGTTCCTTCTGAGAAAGTATCTTCTTCTGTGGAGCATTTCATCATATACATGGAGTCCGTTGGAACTATGCCAAATCCAATTTCATCCCAATTGATTTCCTCAATGCTGTTTCAGATAGACATTCAAATTTGGAGCCCACAATCAGGAAAGGGTAATATAAAATTAAAGAACAAGTTAAAGCAATAACATCAATCAATTACCAATTAATAGAAGGCGGAGCCATAGTTGCGTTTGGCTTTTCTGCAACTTCTTCTTTGACGAATGATGAGGCAGAAGGGGGCGCGCGCGCGGGGGTATAAATGATGATGGTCTTTGTGCATGGAAAGAACAGGGAAAGAGTCGAAAAGGGTGTGCCAGAGAGTGATGATGAAGAGTGTCAAAGTAAGCAACTTCATGTGTTTTGACGAACGCTACCTATTTCCTTCAGTGAATCCTGTTCACCTACCAAAGTAGGTGTAGATGCAACAATATAATGGTGGGCACTGCCTTCAATAAAAGAGTCCCTATGGATTAGTATAATCTCTAAACATAAGGAAATTCGAATCTTAATTCGTCGTATTATAAAACACTAACTCATTTTATTGTCCCAGTACCGTTGCTAAATCTTTGTTAATTGAATAGTCGAACTTTATCCTTCAGTAGGTAAGACCGTGAAAGCATATTTTTGACATTGGGAGCAAAGGCTTGTTCTGGATCAACAACGAACATGGCCTCACTTGCCCATTATTTTAAAACGAGGAGTTTTTTTTTTTTTTAAATATTTTTAAAACGGTTGCGTCTTAGACTGGGTAAAGCAAAAGTTTCGTCCTGGATTGATACATAGTAAAGTTTTTTGAAACGTGTTGGTTTGAAGGAAAAAAACTAACGGCTCTGGCCAAGAAAAGGACAAAAGGGAATTTTGGAAAAAAGAAGAAGAAGAAAACATGCTTGAAGTTATAATTGCCAGCAATGCTAAGGTATAATAAACAACGTAAGATTAGTATTTTGGCATTTATTTATTATTTTTAGAACTTAGTTGTTATTAATTTTCTTACGATGTACTTACATGTAATGCTTTTGGGATTTTTTTTATCAACTAATGTAACACATCTCATAATTTTCTTTTCCTTGCTCGTTATGAATAACTATGCCTCACTATTTTTTTATATGATTGATGCTGATAATCGGTAATGCTTTCAAACAATCAGGACCCATGCATCATTGGAATATAAATTGCAGTCTCGCTCACTTAAATGAAATATACCCATTATATTAAATTAAATGACTCACATGCAGTACATTTTTTATTATTATTTTTTAAATTAACGAAGAAGTTCAACTTGAATAATAAAATAAAACGTACGTGCGAGTGGGAGAGAAAATTCCTAAACAAATAAAAGCGCGCAAAGCTAAGTGATCTCCTCAGACATAATAACAAATTAATTAAGACTGATTCTTAATATAAGAGCTAATTTAACTTTTAATTTGATCCTAAATATAAGACCATATCTATACTTTGTCTCTCATATTCGTTGTTTTTTTCTCTAAATAATCCTTGTAATAGTTGCATATGTCAAACAATACTTATTTATTACAAATAATTAATTTAATAAAACTTTTTAATCTATTTAAATTAGTCAACTAACTCTTATATTAAAGACGAAAGGTAATATTATTATAGGCTGATAAAACGATTTCCAGTGGGATACCATAATTAAGAGCATGAAGCAGAAATGGAAAAGAATCCACACAAATGGAATAAATCTATCACATTTATTTGTAACAAATCCTCACAAATTAAGTCCGAAAACAGAAGATTATTATGATCACCAACGGAATATGATTTTTGCATTTATTACTACACGTTTTATTTTCTATAAATTCAGCTCTCCTTCTTCCTCCGTCGTCAAACAAACCGACTCAACAGACAACATCAAAAACACAGAACCAACATCAAACATGTTGGCTTCCTCATCATCACGTTCAAACCTCAACATTATTAATGACTTCACCATCTTCTTCTTCATATGTTCACTGACCACATCCTACGTTGCCCTAGCCGGGAGCTCGCCTCAAGACTGGCTGGATGCTCACAACAAGGCTCGAGCCGAGGTGGGCGTGCCGCCGATCACGTGGGACGACAAAGTGGCGGCCTACGCTCGGAGCTACGCCAACAAGAGGGTCGGCGACTGCGCATTGGAACACTCCGGGGGACCCTACGGCGAGAACCTGGCTGAGAATTTCGGTGACATGGACGGCACCGACGCCGTCAACTTCTGGGTGTCGGAGAAGCCCAACTATGAGTATGAGTCAAACAAGTGCGTAAACGACGAGTGTGGACATTATACGCAGGTCGTTTGGCAGGATTCTGTTCGTCTTGGGTGTGCTAAGGCTAAGTGCAACAATGGATGGATGTTTGTGATTTGTAGCTATGATCCGCCAGGCAACATTGAAGGCCAGCGGCCATATAATAGAGGCATGATTATTAATCACTATTAATTTGCATACATATCATACTAGTACTATATTATTAATTAATCATAATTACGGGATCTTGAATAATTGTCGTATAGAGAATGACGCGAACGGAATTGGAGGGGGGGGGGGAGTTAAAAGAATGATATGATATGTAATATTCAAAAGATTGGCTAATGGCTTGCCTCATTTTCCATTTTGCTTTTATTTTTTTCTGGGTTAGCATTAAACTGAAAATCTCATATACTCTTGTCCTTAATGTAGGACCTAATTAACTAATTTGAGTAAATTAAAGATATTAGTTAAATTAGTTAATATGATATATTCTTCTTAAAACACTCTAAGTATATTTTTTTAATTTTCTCCCTTCTTCTCCTACTTGATTATTGTTGGAAAAATATCAGTAGGTTAATTTTTAAAAATATTGATAAATATGTGAAATAAATCTTATATATATGATTAACAATAACTCTCTAATTAGGTCTTTCATTAAGGAGAAGAGGAGTAATATTTTTCTTTTTTTAAATATCTTCTCCATTCATATTGAATTCCAGAAACACTAGAGAAAATCGACCATAAATGTGATTAATGGTTTTTATTTTGCTTTCCCAACAAGCCACAGAATATTTTTCTGCCAGGGGTTATATATTAAAACACACACGCACGCACGCAAACTTATAAGAAGCTGCACTTTTTACATTTTCATTGACAAAAAAAAATATTTGTAATTATTAAATAGAATGATTCATTTCAAAACTGTAATGCATATAAGTGAAAAACATCATATATAGGCTTATGCATTCTGAGAATTTTACATTCTATTTTCAACTTTCACTAAAAAAAATTTTTATTTATTTCCAAGTTATTCAAATTAATTAGTGGAGACGAGGAAGAAGAGGTTTTCCACACAAATTTTGTCCACTTATTACAACAGATTAAGACTATATATTGATCTGCCCAAATATAGAAATCAAAGAATAGACCCCTATAAATACCCCCAGTGCAACATGGTTATCTCATCCATCGATCCCTATTACCCATCACAACACAACACAAACAAATTAAAAGGAATAAAACATGAGGTCCTCATCATCAAACCTTAACAATGTTCTGGCCATCTTCGTCGTCGTCTGTTTACTCACCATATCGTTTGCTGTCGTAGCCCGCGGCCAGGATGAAGTACGTACCTGTTACGCTCACAATGATTTTCATTTTTTTCAATTGACAATATCTCATTTTATAGTTATCTGCAAGTTCTGAGATGTTTTTAGGCCATTAAGAAAGTTACAAGTTTATTCCGTCAGAGTTAATTAGAATCATTATTTATGTATTAATAAATTACTACACCGCCGAGAATTTAATACTCCTCGGATTCTAAATATAAGACTTATTTTAATTTATAGCGTAACTTATATTATAAAATGAGTTTGATATTTAAGATTGAAGTATATTATAGGATGACATGTAGTAACCAAATATTAATTTTTTTCAGGATCAACAGAACCCGCCTCAACACAGGGCACCAGCTGGATCTGGCGTAAGTTTCTTCATATTTGTTCTCTTATTATTTAGGGTTAATACCTTAGCTTCTTCAATTGGAAATCACTGTGTATGTCTCTTCTTCTTGTTTTTTCATTCAAAGGATAGACAATAACAATATGAGATTACAAGCCGAATCAAACCCACAATCTCTTATTTGCAAAAGAGCTTTTATATCATTAGACTACAAAAATATTAGCATATCTTCTTCTTTAGATTATACTCTAGCTAGGTAGGGCTTGCATAGAAAGACCCTAACATTGTGTTCATCATGTTCATGGGTGGTGTTCAGAGCACTCCTAAGGCGTGGCTGGACGCGCACAACGAGGCACGAGCAGAGGTGGGTGTGCCGCCGCTGGTGTGGAACGAGAGCCTGGTGGAATACGCCCAGAAATACGCCGACTCAAGGTACGAGAAGTGCGAGTTCGAGCACTCGATGGGGCCTTACGGCGAGAACCTGGCGATGAACTACGAGGACATGGAAGGCACGGACGCCGTGAAATTCTGGTGCACCGAGAAGGCGGACTACGACTACAAAACCAACACTTGCAAGACCGGCGAGTGGGAATGTGGACACTACACTCAAGTGGTCGGCCGCAAGACCACTTCTGTCGGATGTGCCAAGGCTAAGTGCAAGAACAATTGGATGTTCGTGATTTGCAGCTATTACCCTCCGGGAAACATTGAAGGCGAAAAGCCTTACTGATCATATATATATACACATTCATCCCTATATATATAATAAGCTCATGATTATATTCTGAGTTTCTGATGATTATGTATCAGCAAGATGAGGCTTATGAGTAAAAGAAAACGTACGGCTCATGAGTTAGAATAATAACTAAGAGATTTCGTTCAACGAATTAGTTTTTAATTATCTATCTACTGCCATTTTGGTTTTATGTGTTCAGTGTTGGTTAATTGTTAGAGTTTGTATAATGGCCATTTATAGGATTATAATGATGGCTGTGGTTGTCGTTCAACCTCTGTACGACGAATTCATTTAGGGACTTCATTATATATCAGATTTAATTCTTGGTTTATTAAATTTGGTGTCTCTAAATAGAGTTTATGTTGTTGCATTTTCGTCCTTCATATTCACTTTACAGGAAACCATCGCCCTCAAAGATAAAGTAACAACGGATGTGGAAAAGGAAAAAAAAAAAAAGAAGAAGAGAAGTTCCTTTGGACACCAAAATTACTTGTCAAGAAGCTTGAACGTGTTTAGAAAATTAAGGACTTTCTTTCGCAATAAAAATATACACATTTCCTCTTTACTTCCTACTCTCTCTAATTTAAGAGTTAGTTAAGAGTTGGATTTAGTTTTAAATATAAGTCCTTAATGCACTTTTGACTTTTGTATTTTCATTTTTTTTTCAAATTAATTTATCTAACTTGTAGACTAATATGTAATATAATGTTATACTCTTTTATCCTATTTATAAAAATGAGAGTATTTTTTTATCCTATTTATAAATTACATTGTTAATCTTTTTACATGAATACACGTGTTCTTTATTTATTATTATGGAACAAGCCATTAAAAATATATATCTAGAGTATATATTAATTCTGGGTAAAATTAGAATTTATTTCGTTTTAAGACAAAATTAATGGGGTTTAAAGTTTTTATGCGTAAATATTAGTAATTTGCATTGTAAATAATACAACTTGTTTTAATTTTTTATATATTTTAAATTGACAAAGGATAATACGTTATATATGGAAATATTGACGGAACTCATTGAAAGCAATTATGTTTGGGTTTTTGGAGAAAGAGGCGTACTTACATATTTCTGGAATAAGAAATTCCAAGTAGGCAATTATGTTGTAATTCTTTTATCAAAGAAGTGACCTATATATGACTTTCGAGTTAATTAATTGAATAACGACAATTCAATTAAGAATGCATGATTAATAATAGGCATTTAAATTAGTTTATATTTTAGTATTATATTTAAGGTCAATTATTGGATATATAGAGAGGGGGCATAAATCATGCGGAAAATGCATCTATCAATCACTAACAAGAGAAGTAAATTAATAACTCATAACTAATTGTCAAGTTTAATTCAGCTTCTAGTTAATTCCGGACCTCTTTATGATAAACAAATAAGAGTTTTTTTTTTTAAAAAAAAAGCTCTAAATGTAAAGCACAGCTACACATTGTCCTTTGTATTTATTAAAAATTTTCTTATTTTACAGTCATGAAGTTAGCATAATTGAGTCATAATCAAATACACAACCATAAAGTCAAATAAATCATTAAAGGCATTTTGTGATGGCCAAAAAAAACAGGCATTTTGAGAAGAATTAAATCTCAAACATATTTATTGATTTTAATTAACTGTATCTTTTAGAACTTTGAATTTTTGTCTAAAACGTGAGTTGTAAAAAGGATTAAAGGTGTACTTCTTGCATTTATAAGGAATAAGAAATCCAGTCAAAGCAACTACTATCTTGTAATTCCCAGGCCCTTAATGTAAGACTTAATTAATTAATTTGAGTATCACTCTAATCTTTTTTAATTGTCACTTGTAGTAGTTTCTCATATATCAAAAAGATCATTGTCTCTCACTTTTACCCTTATTAAATAGCTAATATATTTTTTCACCCATGATCTCTTTTACAATTGTCTTTCTTAATTAATAAGGATAGAATTGGAAATGAAGTGTTAAAATGTTACAAGTAACAAATAAAAAAGACCAAAATCCCTTCCTATAAGTGACGATTAAAAAGGACCAGAATACTAAATTAACTAGTTAAATTAGTTAATATGATTTTTTTTCCTAAAACATCATAAGTATCTTACTAACCCTCTTACTTCCTCTCCTATTTGATTGTTATTGAGAGAATATCAATATGGTTAATTTGAAAAAAAATTGATAAACATGTAAAATAGGTCTTACATATAAGATCAATATCAACTCCTCAATTAGATCCTATATTAAGAACCGGAAGAGTACTATAATTTTTTTTTCCGTCAAAGAAAGTAAATCATGACTTTGAGTTAATTGAATAAGGACAATTCAATTAAGAACGCATAGCCAATAATAGTCTTTTAAATAATCCGGCGGCTTTAGAAGCAGCAACCACTTGAGACAAAACCTTTCTTAATGAATAACATGTTGGTCCTTGAAGATCCATGGCCCATGTGACTAAAATTACTACTCAATTATACCTACATATCTTGCCGGGTTTTTGTCTTTTTTGGGGTCAAAGTCATTGTATTGACTTTTTGTTTTGTTTTTTTTAATGAAGAGAGATGTTTACTTGGACCTATTCCCTATGAATTAATTAATGGCAATGCCAATATCTTAATTACTCCACTCGTAAGGTCGTTTCGGTAAAGTATTATGTTTACATTTTTTTTGTAGATAATTAATATATTGTGATAAAAATACTTCTAATAAAAACATTACTTGCCCTCTATTATTCTGTCTTATTAAATAATAATTAATAAATACAGTCTATTCTTCGTATATTCGGATAATTAACTATGTAACTACTTTTTCTGGTTGGTGTACGATAACTAAAATGACCTCACAATATAAACGGACAGAATATTGGAGAAACTATTATTCTTAAAAATTGTTAGTACAATTGTTGGTGTTACAAGTATATATCCAAAATTAAAGAAAGAGAAGAAATTATTAATCCTTAGATTTTGACGATATGTGTAGATACAAAAGTTATTGTGATCAGTATAATATTTTCCCACAAAAATAAAATATATTTATATGCAACAAAGAAATTACTCCCTCTATTTTTTTTTTAATATAAGAAACAACTATCACATATGGCTTGTTCCCATAATTATTATAAAAAAAAAACATTTAGAGGATGTGCCTCAAATTTTCTTTGCTAATTTTTCATTTTAATTATTCATTTTAATATCAACGCGATTACGTACACGACCCCCCAAGCATCGGACTCTCTCTCCACTGTACATGACGTGTTCTATCTTGCGATTATGCATATATAACCTTCACATTGTATTGAATCAAATATTTAACTATTCACAGTTAAGCAGATTCAATAATTTTTAAAATATAAATGTTTTCATGTCACAGAGGTTACAATTTTAAAACGGTATGCTTAAAGTATTACCCACAAGTTGACCTGATCGCCTACTAAGACAGCAATCCATTTGCCCAATTTAGTTCAGGCATGCTAGATTAGTGTCCAAAAGCACATACATCAATATGAATATCAAATTTAAAATTCATAAGAGTAGTATTATTCATAGGTTATAAATAATATTGTTCTTTTATTTTTAAGTTTTGGCTTTGTATACAAAATATTTGTTGCTATGAAACTAAAATATTAATTATTTTTAGCTAAAGTATATATTTAGTTATTCAAGTTAGCCTCAAATTTTAGTTGCCAAATTTTAATGTTTATGTATAACGTTCTTAAATAATACATACAATTTTAAAATAGAAAGTTGGATGACATATTGTAATTAAACTTCTTGGAGTTGTCTTATTATATAACCACTAAATAACAAGTAGATAAACAAAGTATAATTATTATCTCTTGGAGTTAATATAATCTTTAGTTTTTTAAGCTTGCCTTTATTTTGGTTTTAGTATCTAAAGTTTCAAACTATAGGTTCTGATATCTTAAGGTGTAAAGTAGTCCAAGTTTTTATTAAATTATGCAGGCCAATATTATAAATGAAAAGAAATTTGAGAGACTAAAACAAAAAATAGGATAAACTTGAAGGAATAAAGATTCTATTAACTCTTTTATATATTCTCCCACTTGTGCGAACGACCAAACGAAAGCCGCCAGCCAAGACCTGCTCCCGTAGTAAGATTGGAGGAATAAGCAGCCACAGCATTCAAATCCTATTATTTCATATAATACCTTCTGTTCTTAATATAAAAACTAATTGACTAATTTAAATAGATTAAGAAAACTAGTTAAGTTAATTATTTGTACCCAATAGGTGTTGTTTTTTTTTTTTAAAATATCATTGCTAATCAAATGTATTGACTAGAACTACCATTATTATAATGACTATATTAAAAATAAATAAATAAATACAAAAGACAAAGTAAATTGGAGTCTTATATTTAAGATCAAAATAAAAGTCAAATAAATTATTATATTAAAGACTAGAGGTAGTATAATTTTAAATCTAGAAGCACACAAATGAGGAAAAAAACTTAGCCTAATGCATTCCATCTTCTCCGTTTGTAACTATTTTTTCTAATAAATTTCTATATATAGTGGCATCCGATGACTTTCCATCTTCGCCAATATACCTCCTCAATCGCAATGGGCCGTAACTCTGTCATTATCCAATTATCACTTCTCGTCGTCTTAGCCACCACGCATATCTCCGATGCTCAAGATTCACCCCAGGACTACGTCAACGCCCACAACGCTGCCCGCCGGCAAGTCGGCGTCGGACCCATTTCATGGGACGAAAGGGTGGCCTCCTACGCTCGCAACTACCTGAGCCGCTTCAAAAACAGCTGCCAGATGGTTCACTCCGGCGGCCCCTACGGAGAGAACCTTGCCTGGCGCTACCCAGACCTGACCGGCACTGGCGCCGTCAAGATGTGGGTGGACGAGAAGCGATTCTACGATTATAACTCTAACTCCTGCGTGGGAGGAGAGTGCAGGCACTACACTCAGGTGGTTTGGCGTAACTCGGTTCGACTCGGTTGTGCGAAGGTCAAGTGTGACAACAATCGTGGGACTCTTGTGAGCTGCAACTATGACCCTCCGGGTAATTATATTGGTCAGCGTCCTTATGATAATCCTTTCTTCCAAGTTCCACTCAGCTTCAGAAAGGGTTTACAACAAGATGATTAAGTGGGAATTAAATTATATTCTCGGCTTTGTGTTCACATGTTCATGAATAACATGAAGTTACGGGTCGGTTTATGTGTGAATATGTCTTTGTTTCAACTAGTTATGTCTCGTTGTGTGCTTTGGTTTTGATCAACCAGGAAATAAAAGCTGAGTTTGATGTTCTTTTGTTTAATTTCGATGCTTCTCATCAAGAATCCCTCGATATTTTTTATAAATAATTAATACTAGTATGTCCTATTTATAGATGTTAATTTACTAAACGAATACAGTTAAAATCAATTTGCATGCTTGAGGAGATGGGGAACGTTGAAAGATCGTCCGAAGCATAGCCATTAGTCAAAATTAGATAATTGTCCTTTTCATTTGACCATTTCTCTTATTTTAATTTATTTACCGTGCGATATAAAATTATATAGTGCTTAGAGTAATGTGCTTTTCGGATATCTGGAGGCATTCTCATCAGGTCAGCTTCTTACGTCTTTTTTTTTTTTTTTGGAATACAAGTGGTATGGCGAAGATCAAACAAGAACCCCAAGGGCAATATCCTATAAAAGAGTGTTTGGATAACTAAACTATAGTTTTAAAAGTGATTTTACAATATACGACATACATATGTAAGAAGAGTTTTATCACGACTTGTGTGAAAATACTTTTTAAAAGTGCTTTTTAGATATATCAAACATCTCTAAATGAAAATCACCAAACATAAGATTTCTACAGGAAATTATCTTATAATTTTTTTTGCCATCAAAGGGAGCGACCTGTATATGACTTTGCGCTAATTAATTGAGTAAGGACAATTCAATTAAGAACGCATAATTAATAATAGGCATTTAAATAATGTGGCGGCTTGAAGAAGAAGCAGCTATTAAAAAAAATGGCAAAAAAGAAGAAGCAGCCATTAAAGACAAATTGCCTTTCTTAATTACTTAGTATATAGTTGGTCCTGTAAAGTTGCGTGGCCCATTATCTTGTATACCCAATAACAAATTACTTGTGAGTCCAAAAAAAAAAAAAAACAAATTACTTGAATCTAATGTTAATTCTTGCTGTCAAAATCATCTCATCGACTTTTCTTGAGAAGAAAACATGGATGTTTACTTATGGCTACATCAATTATTAATTATTAATGGAGTAATAGGCTTTTTAAAAATTATAATTAATTTGGTTTATAATTGTATTCAATGTCACAAAATTTTCAAAAATAATTGAGGGAAACAAAATTAATTCTGAGATTGTGTGGATATGCGTAAAAATATTTATCGAGCTAATTATGAAGACATGATCTGAATTCTGAATTCCTGAATCCTGATGCTGCGAAACCATCAGCTACAATTCTAAATTAATATTTCGATCTCAAAATTAAAACTTAAATACGCAAGAAAAATCAATATGCTTCTTCAACTATTAGAGGAAAACATACAATTTCTTGTTCATTTGGCTGGTTCTTCTATTACATATTAAACAGTTCAGTAAAGAGACTCCTCAATTTAAAACTAATGAGTATATAATATGGATAGCTATCGATAATTAAGACATAATATTGTCTTTGTTTTTTTAGCAAAACAATCTCTTGATTATTTTTCAAGAAGGATATATAAGCTGCTTGCGTTGCGTATACATAGGTTATGCGTGCCAATGATATTATAATAATTTTTACACTAATTATTGTAAATATAATAATATACTCCTCCGGTCTTTAATATAAAACTCAATTGTTGAGTTGGTTTTTATCCTAAATATAAGACCTATTTATCATATTTATCAATTTTCTCTAAATTCCCTTTATGAATACTCCCTCAACCATAATCAAGTAGAAGAGGAAGGGGTATTAAAAAATATGATTATGGCATTTTAGGAAAAACGTGTCACATTTTTTATAATTAACTAACTTATCTAACTTCCTTAATCTAATCAAATTAGTTAAATGTGTGTTATATTAAGGACCAGAGGAGTAATATATTATTTGATAACAATAAAATATATTATATGCAATGAAGAAATTAATATTTAAATAAAATAATGCTATTTCTAGCTATGGACTAGGGAGTAGGAATTATTACGCAATTCGTTGTTAAAGAAATGTTTTTTGACCTTGTTATTAAAGAAATCTGAATTCTTATCCAAAAATAAAACATTAAAACGTAATTATCTTCATGACGTGTATTGACTTGCAATTGTGTATGTCCTTCCCATTGGATCTTATACAAGTTGAATATAACGTCCCTTTTATATAAATATTTTCGTGCACGGACTATAACTAAGAACCCCCGTGTGTGGGGTGTGTCTATAAATAACTCTCAACTGAGACTCGAACGATTGAGGGGGTGATAAGATATAAATAATGGAATTATATAGATTAAAAAATTGGTTAAAAACAATAAATATAAAAAAGTTATTTTATTTTTTTTTGAAAATATCTTTATTGAACATGATAATAACCCTCATGTCTTGGATAAATGATATTGGACACTCTTAATTTATATATATTTATTTATTCTTACATTTCTGACTAATTTTCTAGTAAATTATTGAATATTATAAATAATTTAAATTTAAATTCGGCATTGCTAAGCACTTGAGAGAGCAAACATAAATCTTTTGGAAAAAGAATGATTGCTGTAAATAATAATAATATGAAATCTATCTACCTATATATGCACACAAGCATCCCATCTTCCATTTTCACCATTTCACCAATACCTTTTCATCAGTCATAATGGGACGGAACTCCACCAGTGTTCTTCTCTCTCTTCTTCTCCTCATCGTCTTAGCCGTCCCACAGATCTCCGTCGCTCAAGACTCACCCGGAGACTTCGTCAACGCCCACAACGCCGCCCGCCGGCAAGTTCGCGTCGGACCAATTGCATGGGACCAAAGGCTGGCCTCCTACGCTCGCAACTACCTGAGCCGCTTGAGAAACAGCTGCCGGATGGTTCACTCCGGCGGCCCCTACGGAGAGAACCTCGCCTGGGGCAAACCCGACCTGACCGGCACAGCCGCCGTCAACATGTGGGTCAGAGAGAAGCGATTCTACGATTATAAGTCCAACTCGTGCGTGGGAGGAGAGTGCAGGCACTACACTCAGGTGGTTTGGCGTAACTCGGTTCGACTCGGTTGTGCGAAGATGAAGTGTAACAACAATCGTGGGACTCTTATCAGCTGCAACTATGACCCTCCGGGGAATATTACTGGTCGGCGTCCTTATGATAATCCTTTCTTCCAAGTCCCACTCAGCTTCAGAAAGGGTTTGCAAGATGATTATTAAGTGGCACTTCTGGAGTTTGAGTTTGTGTTCGTGTGCATGAATAAAACGAAGAAGCTAGCTAGGCTTAGCTGGGTTGATGATCATGTGTGTGGGTGTGTGTGTTTTCAGATACGTATATCTCGGTGCGTGATTTGGTTTTGATCATCAATGAAATAAAAGTTTGACGGTGATAGATGTGAGTTTTCGATCGTTCTCAAGATCATACCTCATATCTTTGATGAATTAAGCAATTTTATTACTTGTTCAGAATTTCAGGTGAGTCCCCCAAAAAGCTAAGGGAAAATTTCAACGAACCCAGTAGCTAATTAATATAAGTCAACGGCTGAAAATTTCTGAAATTTCATTGTATTCCTTGACCATAATTTTTTGTATGAGAAGACAAAAATTTTCTTACTTTATTTGGATTGCAAATTTCTGAATTTGTGTTGTAAATCCCTGAATTCTTGTTGTAAATTATTAAATTTGAGTTGTTCATTTGCCCACAAAATTTAAAAAGATTTAGAACTCAAATTCAATCATTTATAATAAGAATTTAGCGATTTACAACTCAAATAAAGTAAGAGTATTTTTATTTTCGCACAAAAAAAATTGTTCAAGGGGGTACGTACAATGAAATTTCAGAATTTTTCAGCGGTTGAATGATATTAATTGGATACCAGGGAGCTTATTTAAATTCTCCCAAAAACTAATTGGGATCAAGTGGATTATGACTCTTTAATTTATAAAAAAAAAAACATAAAATATGGACACTTCTCTCTGTAAAAATTTAAATATTGTTTCACCACGTTAGAAAAAAGTATCTCTTTTCAATAGACCTAATACTGTTGGTAATTATTGGCGATTTTTTCTTTGGTTACATTATTGGCATTTTTTTTGCCATAACATTATTAGTAATTTTAAGAACTATATAGTATTCCCCTCTATGTTGGGCCATGTGATGACTGGACCTGCACCATGCAACACGGTTGTTGTTTAAAGAGCCCAAAAGAATATACTCGTGGACTTCTTGAGTTTGTTTTGTTATATGGTTCCATTTTTTCTCTTGTGAAGGTTGTTATGGATTATTTCATTCTTGTCCATAATACTATTAATGAAAATAAAACTAGTTTTCAAGGAAATAAATAATTCCTATCTTTGAAAAATATAAAAACATATTAGGGAACAATGATTACTAATAGTAAAAACGTGATAAATATTAAATATAAAAATTTATTAAAAACCACCTCCTTAGTTGCGAACCATATAATTAAAACGAAATATTAAAATAAACTTTTCATACTTCATACAGATGAGAACCGAAATAAAAAAGGAAAAAAGTTACAAGAAAATAATAAATCCTAAAAAATGTTTTATGGGTGAAGACGTGAAGTGGGGAAAGATAATAAAATAAAATAGTGAATTCCATTTGTACACACCTCATCTCTCAAGCTAGGGAATTCGCAGTAGGACATCAGACACTTTATTTTTTTTTTGGTAGATTGAGAAATAAACTATATACTACCTCCGGTTTTAATTATGGGATTTTGTTTATAGTCTACAAATAAGATTTGATAATTATGACCGAAAATAATATATTATACTTTTTTAACGGGAAGAACCTTTACCATATAAAATTATATGTGAAAAAAACTTAGGATATTGTCATGCTAGGTTTTCTAAACCATGAAGGGAGATTTTTTTTCTTTTTCCTTTTGGTAGTTTAGCCCCCCCGGGGTTTTTTTTTTGGGGGGGGGGGACCGCATTGGTTTTTTTTTTTTTTTTTTGACCAAAGACTTCGTCAAGTCCGTGACCCAGAAGATGAACACGTATTTACATTTTTATAAGACATGATTCGAAGTTTCCAATAGCATCTGAACACCTGGAATCTTTATCATTATCTCTATTTCTGTGGACGTAATACTTGTTAGACTTTCATCTAACGAACAACAGCCTGGTTATAATCTATATAATAATATTAACCTTATAACAATCAATCTCTTTCAGTTGTTTATTTTTTGTCAACACCAAAGGAACTTCTACGTAACTGCTATGTACGGAGGGATTAGAATTTAGAAGTGTTCAACCCTGTTTTTCTTGGAGGTTGGAAACATTGGCACAGACAGCTAAGTAACTAACGGTTCCCTCTGACTGAAGGAAGAAAAAAACAGAGAGCTTATACTTTCCAGGCCATGTCAACTCATCCATCCTATAGATTTAGAGTTTCCGAGTTCTAACATACTTAACATATAGAGATCTCGTCTTTTGTATCTTTAACTCTTTCATTTTTGGGAGTTCGCTGAAGAAGACAAACACCCTTTTCGATTTGAGCATTTGCAAATGAATCCCTTCTCAGTTTCTCTATTATCAGTTGCAGAAGGGGCTCCTAGAACAAGACCTTCAAGACCTTTCAGTTTTCTTCTCCACATCTTCGTGTGGTTATTGGCCTGTCTCTTTATAACAGGCCATGGTTCTGAGAGTGAAACCTATTGCTTGAAATCCATCAAACAATCAATTGATCCGTTCAATTATTTATCTGACTGGGATTTCAACAGAAACTCCAATGGCTACTACTTTTGCGTATTCTCTGGTGTTGAATGCTTGGACATCGATGAACAGAGAGTAGTATCAAGTCTCAGTCTTGCTAATATGGGGCTGAAGGGACCATTCCCTCGCGGTATTGAAAATTGTTCAGCACTGCAGGAGCTTGACCTTTCCTTCAACGAGATTTCAGGTGAAATTCCGAAGGTTGTTGCAAACCTATATTCGCTGATCACACTTAAACTTGATGGCAACCAGTTATCTGGTGAAATCCCTCATGAAATTGGGTTGCTTCCTCAAATAGAATCTTTTAATGTTGCTAACAATTTGTTGTCTGGGGAAGTTCCTGTCTTTACCAGAAGTCCTCACGTTAGTTTGAGTTATGCCAATAATAGTGGCCTTTGTGGGTATACTCTAGAACCCTGTGATGACAGACCTTCTGATAGATCATTTTGGTACAGTTTTGCTATTGCTTATGTTTGTTCAACAACCTCTGTCATAGTTTCTTTCATGTACTATTTTCAACCTTGGAGAGTCTTGAAGAAAAGGGGGAGAAATTCCATAACTTCTTTGAGAAGAAAGAGACAGAACATTATTCAAACTCGTACTACAGAAGTTGCTGAGTTGCTGCCATTGGCGTTGCAAGAACAAGGAATCAAAGAGGTAATCTCTGTCCCTCTTCCCTCCCTTTTGTTATGTTTATGCTCAAGTATCGACTTTTGTAATCTGTTCTTTTACCATCAAACCACCATGTGTCTGTGTCATTTTCGTATACTTGTGTAATGAAAGAATCGTGCGAACGTTAAAACAATGAACAATACCTCTGTTAAACCTTAAAGTTCATTCATTTTTTTAATCATGAATGGTCTCATAATGTTTCGTGGCTACTGCTGAGTGGTAGCCAAGCAAATCATATGGAGTCAAAGAACATATATAGAGTAAATCCAATCAGACAAATTAATTGTCCCCACCAAATCAAAGAGAGTAATCTATAAAGTAGATGCATCAATTTCATAATTTTGTTGCCCCTCCTTGCTAACAATTCCAACTACAGCTCCCAGCGTTGTTGGAGAGGTTGATTCCTAGAATAAACTTTGGGGAACTATGTGAGGCAACTAATTACTTCAGCACAGACAATGCCTTAGGATTTGGAAGGACAGGGATTGTGTACAAGGCCAAGCTTCCAAATAACTATTTCATGGCGGTTAAAAGACTCTATGATTCTCAACTGTACAAGAGAGAGTTCTTGCTGGAAACGATGATCCCAGGAAAACACAGACACCACAACATAGTCCCTCTTCTAGGATTTTGTATGGACAAAAAGGAAAGGCTTCTGGTTTATGAATACATGTCAAATGGAAAACTCCAAGATTGGCTACAATCTGATGGATCTCAATCTATGGTATTAGAATGGCCTGTGAGGCTTTATATAGCTCTTGGGCTAGCCAGAGGCTTGTCCTGGCTTCACAATAAGTGCAACATTGTCCATCTCAATCTGAGTTCTGAGTGTGTTCTTCTCAGCAAAGACTTCGAACCCAAAATTTCAAACTTTGGCGAGGCCAAATTCATCAATCAGATCATGAACGATCATTTGAGGAGGAAGCTGTATATGATAAATGGACTTGCTGAGAAGGGTTCTACGGAGAAGGATGTGTACAGCTTTGGATTAACTCTTTTTGAGCTCATAACAGGGAAAAGATTGAATCCAACCACTGATTCTTCTGACACTGTTGGTTTCAGCTCTTTGATGAAATTAATCAGTACTAAATTGTTCACTGGCCCTTGTGATTTTTACAGTGTCATTGATAAATTTCTCATTGGGAAAGGATTTGATGAGAAAATCTTTGGTCTAATTGAAGTTGCATGTGATTGTGTTAAGCCTTCTCTGGTGCAGAGGCCAAAGATGGATGATGCGTACAGAAGAATAAGAGCTTTGTGGGAGGGCTATGGACCCACGTCTGATCATTCTGCAAGTCTAAAGCCTTCTCGGGTTTGCCCTGTGGAGGTATCATGTGGAAATGAAATTGAGTGCCTTCACTGAGTTGTAAATTTACCTTTTCTTTTCATTAGTTAAGAAAATGTAAATTAGTGTTGCAATCTTCAACCTTTTCAACCGTTGCCATATCAAACAGGACAGATGCCTGGAATTTAAAATAATATAGGCAGAGTATAAGCTAAGATTTTTGTTTTGGCTAAAAGCAGAGTATGTATAAGATGGACACCAAACCCGTGAATAACTTAATAAAACTGTTTAACAAATTAATCTCTCTGTTTTTTTTTTCCTGTGACTCTCTTAGCATTTTTTACAATAACTACCTACTATTTTAGTGTTAAATTCTCTTTTAAGTATCATGCTTGAATAATATATAGCAGTGCACTTCATTAATTTGAAGGAAATTTTCATAATAACATTTACAATTTTTATATGTAATAATTAAATCATGGACACTTTGATAAGGGGTTACATATATATGTGTAACAAGTAATTTTGAATCAGATAATACATCATAATCATAATTTAAGCAGCATGTGATTAATTTTTTTAGCATTATTTTTTTATATCACTATACATTGAATTGTTATGAAATAAACAATGACTTCAATTATAAATTCTTAGAATGATGGCATCCAAATGGAAACACATTATTTAATTGTTTATGACTATGGAATAATATAAACTTTCAGGGAACAACCACTATGCTCTTATTCTACCAAACCTACAGATTACCTATTGCGCAATGCGATCTTTTATTGGTCTATGCAAATTCATGGTTAATTAGGATATGACCGTAATTATTACTGATGATGGAATTTGGATTCTTTAATTTGCCGTAGGTTATTAGGTACTCCTCCGGTCCTAAATATAAGACCCTTATACACACTAATATAATGGTCTTATATTTAGAACCGGAGGAGTACATATATTAGTGAGTTCGTTAATTTAGTTATTATTAATACTACCTCCAGTCCTAATTATAAGACCTTGTTTATAAACTACAAACAAAATCTTATAATTAATTAGGACCGGAGATGGGAGTTGTCAAGTTTGTTGATAAGCTAGGGTTAAGATACTAATTAACAAAATAGCTACTCCCTTATATACGCAATCTTTCTGATCCTTGAGCCGGTAATTGAATTGGTATTATACTACCTCCAGTCTTAAATATAAGAGCTAGTTGACTAATTTAAATGGATTAAGGAAATAAATTAAGTTAGTTATTTGTATTAAATAGGTCTCGTCCTTCCTAAAATATCTTTATTAATTAAGTTTATTGGCTAGAACTATCATTATTAGAAGAATTATCTTGAAAAAAATAGACAAATATAAGAGACAAAGTGGATTGGGATCTTATATTTAAGATTAAAGTAAAAGTTAAATAAAGTTTTATATTAAAGATCAGAGATAGTAGTATCTTTATTGGAAGTTCAAAATTAAATCAGCAACATAAGGAATTGTTTTGAAGAACTGTCTTTGTGAAAATCCCTAATTAGAACGCCAAAACTCTTCTCATGTAGTTAGTTCTGCTTAAGATTTTCTCTCGTTTTTTCTTCATCTGGGTGACCAATATAATTATAGTCGTTGCAGTTTAATTAAAATGCAAGCATTATTTCCAACCGGACATCCTCATTTATGTGGAATATGCCAAAGTGTGATCCATGACATCGACTGATCTCTGTTACAATATGATCAACTTGACAGACACTAACATTTGTTTTGATGAAATGACAGAGACTAATGTTATACATTACTGCAACTGTATCTTTATACAAATCAACAATGTATTACTGCACGAAACTCCTTCTGACTAACTAATTAAGAAAGCTTTCTGGCTTTCGTCCAGCGGTACGGCCTCTCAATTGTTTAAAGGCAAAATGCTCACCGAAACCTAAGCACAAACGAATAATAATCTAATCCAGATACTTAAGAAAGTTTTATCTTATTTTAATGCCTCTAGCAGCCTTCACTGAGTTCTGATCCTCATGAAATGAGTCTATAAATAGACTTGTCACAATGCCCCATTCTCACCAAGAACCAAAACTCCATCTTCTTCATCCATCTTGCAGAAAAATATCCAGACATGGCTTTACCTACACAGGCCTTGGTTCTCTCACTAGTGCTGGCTTTGATCGTGGCCACGTCCTACGCCCAGAACTCACCGCGAGACTATCTCAGGGTTCACAACAGGGCGCGGGACGACGTCGGGGTTGGTCCCCTGAGATGGGACTCAGACCTAGCCGATCACGCAGAAGACCATGCCGACAAGCTCAAGGCACGGTGCAGGCTCGTTCCCTCCCGTGGCCCTTACGGCGAGAACCTTGCATGGAGCCGCGGTGACCTGACGGCGGCCAGGGCGGTGAACAGTTGGGTGGCGGAGAAGCGGAACTACGACTACGATTCGAACTCTTGCAAGGGTGGACGACCGTGCCGGCACTATACTCAGGTGGTTTGGAAGAAATCGATTTGGCTCGGTTGCGCCAAGGTTCGGTGCGACAATGGCCTGGGCACCATCATTGTCTGCTTCTATAACCCTAAAGGGAACAGCAAAGGCGAACGTCCTTATGATAACTTTGCTGTTTCAAGTGCTCTTGAGCTTTGGGAATAGTGGAGGAAATATATGAGAACCAAAAGGGTGGTGGATTAATGGAATAAATTTAAGGTTTTCGAGTCTACGTATGTGTTTCTGTTGTAATATAATGTTGTATTATGGGTTGTTATTTTGTATTTGGGTTTTAAATTCCTAGGCATCGTGCAAAGGAACAAATAATCTCTGCTATACATAGCAGATGTTTGTGTAAAAGCTTGGCTGTACAAGTGAATATTTGTTTGGTTGTGTGTGAATCATTTAAAATTTAACTGCACTGGCCTCAAAAACGTATCAATATACAAAATTTGATAGGACTATTTAATATTAGGGAGAATTATAATTAGGTTCTAAGAAAGGAAAATAATTACAAAACAAGTTTCGGAAGTTATTATTTTCTGTTTTAGAATTTGTCATTACAGATTGTTTAGATTGTTATTTGGACTTTTTTGTTTTTTTTAGATTTAATTATAATTCTCCCTTAATACCTCTATTCCTAAAATATACAAGTCATGTTTAACAAAACTTCACATTTACCAAGGAAAATAAGTTACTCCTCCGTTGGTATATATTTTTATAAGGCACTTCTAATATTATTATTGGAATCCAGGAGAGATTTAAAAGTTAAAATTAATTAATTCTGTCAAAAAATTAAAAACATTTCAAATAAAGACAAGATGAGAAAAATGTAATAAATACCTCATATGGTGTCTTATAAAAAGGTTTTTCTCCTCTAAACACCTTATAAAAAGGATCGAAAGCAGTAAAAGTTTAACTAGTTAACTCATTATATTTGTTAAAAAAAAGTTGTAATATTTTTCACTATTACCCATATTAAGTACAATAAATTCTAAGGAGCCTACGCATTTTTCACATTAAATCATTATTTTTAAACGACAAGTTTAAAACTAAACAAATAATTGAATTGGTCAAATCGTTAATCCACGATTCATTAATTAGATTTGGTCGAACTTGTAAATAAAAAAACTTGACTTATAGATATATCAAATTCCTTAGGGTCTTTTTTTTTTTTTTGCCATCAAATTCCTTGGGATTTATTTGGATTAAATGAAATTCCGGAAACCTATTTGTATTTAATTTTTTCAGTTGGCACCTACAGATGTTTTTTTTTTTTGCTAAGTTGACTAATTATGAATTTTACGTATTTGATACTCCTCTAGTCTTTAATATAGGACCTAATTGTTGAGTTGATTTTGATCCTAAATATAAGAGTTATTTCTTATATTTATTAATTTTTTCTAAGTTACCCCTATGAATACTCCTTCAATTATAATCAAGTAGAAGAGGGAGGAAAGATATTAAGAAAGATGATTATAGAGTTTTAGGAAAAATATGTCATATTTCTTAGAATTAACTAACTTACCTAACTTTCTTAATTTAATCAAATTAGTTAAAAAGACCTTATATTAAGGACTAGAGGAGTATTAATGATGATGTTGATTAGATGTCTTATGTTGTTTGATCAATAACGTTCAAATATTAAAGACATCGCAAAAGATCTTCCGCTTAATGTAACTAGCTAATGTTGAAGTTTTTTTTGGGGACATGTATATATGTTATGTTATGCTGATTGTTAGAGATTCAAACTACTAAGTATAGATGTTAATGAAAAATTGTCTGATCACCTCTCATCTAACAATTAACTGTGAAGTGGTAACTTAGTAAAGGTTAGGATAAGATAAAGACGATGGCGGTTTTCCACTTGTACTCCTCCGGTCCTTAATATAAGACCCATTTAACTAATTTGATTGGATTAAGGAAGTTAGGTAAGTTAGTTACTCCTCCGGTCCTTAATATAGGACCCAATTTTTGAGTTGGTTTTGGTCTTAAATATAAGACCCATTTCTCATATTTATCAATTTTCTCTAAATTACCCCTATAGATACTCCCTCAACTATAATTAAGTAAAAGAAAGAGAGGGGTATTAATAAAGATGATTATAGTGTTTTAGGAAAAATGTGTCAATTTTCTTATAATTAACTAACTTACCTAACTTTCTTAATCTAATCAAATTAGTTAAATGGGTCTTATATTAAGGACCGGAGGAGTAATTATAAAAAATGTGTCACGTTTTTCCTAAAACACCATAATCATCTTTCTTAATACCTACTCTCCCCTTCTACTTGATTATGGTGAGGGAGTATCCATAGGGGTAATTTAGAGAAAATTGATAAATATGAGAAGTGGGTTTCATATTTAGAACCAAAACTAACTCAACAATTGGGTCCTATATTAAGGACCGGAGGAGTATTAATTATGTGTTGATGCCATAAATTGTAAGCAATGAAACAGACTTTGAAACAGTATTGTAGAGTAACTAATAATACTATCTCTCGTCCTTAACATAAAAAGCTAGTTTAACTTTCAATTTGATCCTAGATATAAGATCCCAATTTATCTTGTCTCTCATATTTATTTATTTTTTAAAAAATAGTTCTTATAATAGTTGTATATGGTAAATAGTCCATCAACTAATAGTTTTACCTAATATATATGATTAGTAAAGAATTCTAATACATATTTATTATAAATAACTAACTTAATTAATTTTTTCAATTTATTTAAATTAATCAACTAGCTCTTATGTTAAGGATCGATTATAAATAAGACAAAGTTATTAGGATCTAGATAAAGAGATCCAATTGATATGGATTAATGCATGCAGGTTTGAAAACTGTGATATCAAATTAAAAAATCAAGTTGGGAGAAGGAAATTATATAGTATTTTTGTGTGATGTTACATGCAATCCTAATTATAAAATCTCGTTTATAGTTTATAAACAAGATTTTATAAATATAATATGGGAGGTAGTATAATTCATGACGCTTTGTTGCTTACATCATCATATGTGCGCGCGCAAACACAAGCAACTAGCTTAGCTAGCTAGATGCTTAGTTTGTCTAAGTCAATCAACCTCTTATTCATTGGAGAGACGGAAAAAAGAAAAGTACAAATTTGACTGCCAATGGTGTACGAACAGTCCTTATAAGCCAATTTGCCCAGTTATTTGCTTCCCGCTAAACTTGATAAATCTCTGTGTCAGTGTGTGTTTGTGCGCGCGCGCGCGTATTTTAGTTAAACGCTGAATCTCTTGATTCCTTGATTATGTTCTGAACCCTAAGAAGAACTCTTGTATCTTTATTGGAAGTTCAAAATCAGTAAGATAAGGGAATGTTTGACGTATACACCCTCTATGCCAAAATCCCTTGGAAGTCCAAAACTCCATTCATGTAATTAAGTTCTTATGTTGTTTTTAGTGAGTTACGTACCCATACGATTATAGTCGTTGCAGCTTAAAATCCTAGCATAATTAACATGGGGACATCCTCATCTATGGGGAATATGCCTAAATACATTTCGATATGATATCATCTTCACAGACACTAACATTATTCGTGGTGAAGTGACAAAGACTAAGGACCCGTTTGGTTTGATTGCAACCTCCCTTCGTAGTGCAATGCATTGTAATGTAATTCAATGTGATGTAGTCTTTATTAGGGGTGTGCATGAAGCCCAAATGCCCGCTAAGTCCGCCCAAGCCCGAAGAAAAATTGCCCTGCCCAGCCCGAAAAAAAAGAGCCCAAAAAAGAATGGGCATCTTTGGGCTGGGCATTTCATGGGCAGGGCTGGGCATCGGGCAGGACATGCTGCCCTGCCCATTTGGCCCTGCCCAGATTATATTTATATATATATTATAATTTATAAAATAATATTAATATATTACATTTCTTTACCCCAAAAAAAAGTTATTCCCTCCTCTTTGCAATTTAATTTATTATTGTTACATGTCTGTTAGTTTTCCATCTTAGGGATCTAATTTTTCTAAAAAAGCAATAGTATCTTGCTTTTAACTTGTTCTTCATGAGCTTTATTGAGTACATCCTATTGTGTGTTGCTGTTGTAATGTTGACTATTTATAAGCACGTCTTCCCTTATATGCCATTAACAACTTTCTTCGTTAGAGAATGGAGTTCATACATTACATATTTGTATAAATCAACAATTTTGAATATTTATACAAGATAGAAAACAAGATTGGGGTAGGAGCAGAGAAAGAAAATTAGGGTTTGATTATATGAATTATATGTTTTATTTTTTATTTAATTTATATTTAGTTATTTTGTATTAATTTTTTATGAACAAATCATATGATGGAAAGAAGTCTTTTAGTTGTAAGGACTACTAACTGCATTGTATCACATAATAAGTGTTTGCATATTAAAAGTGATTATATTAAATTATTATAAGATTTTAAGATTTTTTATTTATCTTTTTACAATTATTTCACCATATTTTTATATGGTCTATATTATTCCTTTTAACCCATTGCTTTAGTTTTAATATCTTTTTACAATCCTTTAGGTAACATTTAATTTTTGCCACTTGAATGGATAATCAAGCTTCTATTACATCACCATCTCCAACCCTCAATGGAATATCTCAATGTGCTTCAACCCCTCTTCAATTTTTTTTAAATGTTTTATTCTTTTCTCAACTGTATGGAGATTGACGCAAACCGTTTGAATTTCAAGGCTTTAATTACAATCTTGAGAGTTGTTTTGTTCTAAATGGATTATGAATATTATTTATTTAGATATTTGCTAAGACTTGTTTTAAATTATTTGGATAATTTCAATGTGCGAAAATGTAAAATTATAAAATGTAATTTTTAGTTATGGACGAAAGTTTTTTTACATGTGATATTGGCAGGTTATCACTATTTGGGCAACGAAGCCCACCCTGCCCAGCCCGCCCACGCCTAGCCCAAAATGGTTAGGGCTTCTATGGGCAGGGCTGGGCAGCGGGCTGCAAAATGCAGCCCGTTCATATCTCGGGCCAGGCATCGAGCAGGGGTCCTGCCCTGCCCAGCCCTACCCATGTGCACCCCTAGTCTTTATAACCATGAGCATGTTTGGTATGATATTAAGAAGGTTGGTAATAATGTTATTTCTTTATATTAAACTAAATAAAAATATATATGAAATTACTAAATTGTCCCCATTAAAATGCCTTCTTTTCCTTCCATGCTCCGACACCTTCCTATCATCATCCACCCCAAAAGGAATAGTTTCAACAAGAAAGAAAGTACAGTGCATCATTATCTTCTTCTTCTACCTTAAACTTCGTTGAAGATGCAGACTTTTAATGGAGAGGGAGAGGATGTCGCTGATGGGAAGATGAAGAGGAAAGAGGTCACTCATGGTGAAGAAGATGCAG